GCTCATTGTCTTCCGCGCCGCCCTTTGACCCGCTGACCATCCCGTCCGGGCGTTGTTCTCGCGCCAGTCCACCGTGAAATCCGATTCTGACCTGATGGCTTGCATTGTGCCTACTAGGACATTAGACTATCTCCTAGACTCTGCTCACCGATGCTCAAAATTGACCTTATAGATTTCCTTGATTCATTAATCCCCCGAGGTCTATGATAGTACCCTACTGAACGTGATGAGGTATTTGAGAATCGCAGAAAGTAAAACATCTCACATAAAAATTACGATAATTTTTTTCATTAAATTAAATTAAAAGTATTACTATGATTTTCACGTTTGAACTCTATTTTTTATTTTCCCACAAAATGTTCTTTCGTAAAAACTATGTTCTTATTTGCAAATTCAATTTATTTTGTTCATATCACAAATTTGTTGATATCACAAATCGTTTAAATATTATTTCTGGGATTTACGTTAATGTATAACTTGTAAAATTATTTTTTCTAATTTCTTAATCTCTACATTTGCATTTAAAACCTGATTATAAGCTTCTTACATAAAAATTAGGAACTTTAAACATTTAATATGACAACTCAAAGTTCACTGTACATTTACTGAATTTTGGAATCATTTTAAATCTTCGAATACAGCAAATTTTTATATTTTCGTAATATTGTAGAAAACAAAGAAAATATAGAAATAAAATTTGGAAATAATGTATCATTATATTACAATTTCATGTATTGTCGCGTTGCTTTTTTAAAGCCATAATAGTTACGTATGTGCGCTCTAAACTTGTTCCAAAATCCGCAACTTTGTTTTGATTGTTCGCAGTGGAAGTTGCGCGTCTCGGTCTGCGCGCACGGGCGCTTGCTTCAAGGTGCACAGGGCGAACTTCCAGTTTGATATTCTTGAAAAGGCAACGGCCCATTGAGCCGACACAAATGAGTTTTAAGAGCATCGGAGGCAAGGAAAAGACTTCAAAAGAAGGAAAGTTGTTACCTCCCCACGGAAATATTAATGCCAGTACTTTTAAGGAATCATGTCTGCGGGGGAGGCTGGCTGTGAATAATGGGCAAATCAACCGCGCGCCCCCGCACGAATTTTGAATTGAAGTTTTTTTATTAAACATTTCAGGTGATGCATAAAGGAATGGATTATACATCAAGTATTAATGAAGGTTCCGCAGAGTCCTGAGGCGGGAGAACCTTCTGTAGGGGGGTGCGTTGTCTGCGAGGGAGGCATTTCTCTTACGTAACAGGTGGAGATGTAGCGCACGACGAATAGAAAGTCTCTTGCTAAGCAAGGTTCTCTCGTGAAGCATCCTACGGCACAGTTCTATGCACAACATTAATCATCCACCGAAATCTATTGTTGACAGTACAGTGAGTCGATAACATTACAGACCTATACTCGCAGTTTTTTCTGGTTCTCGGTCGTTAGGTATTTCAAACCCAAACAATCCTCACTTACTAAATCTCTCAAATGCAATGCTACAAATAGTAAAGTGAAATGAAAAAAATATTGTTAGTAGTAGTGTGTGCTTACTGATTCCGTAATATTTACTGAAGCCTTGACATTCATTCTTCTAAGATGGTTTCTTCTAAGAATTTATCGAGAGGCAAGAGTTTTCGCTGCGTCATCTCGTGTCTTTAGATGGTATTGAAGGACGTCTAACTTGATTTCATTCGTGGGTTTGCTTCATTTCCTTCAGATCACATGAAGTTACAAAATCACGCTTGTGTTTCACGAGACCCGAAGTCTGAGTCCGGATATGTCGGAATCACTGCGGACGTATGCAGAAGTGGGCGCCGCGGGAAGGGGTTGGGGGGGGGGTCGCAGGGGTGCCATTGTTCACGGTCGAGGCGCACGGGGGCGCTCATCTCTGCTCTTGGCCCCGTTACGGAAGTGGCCATTCTGTCGCCCGTATTTCTCTTTTATGAACGTCTATCGATTTTCCAGGTTTACAGCTTCTGCGGCCATGACGAGGCCCCTGTGTGCTTAGGTTTAACCTCTAGAATCTCCTGTCCAGAGGAGGCAAAACTTGAGAATCTAAACTGTGTGTAAAAGTACAATGTGAAACCACGCTCAAAACTTGTTTCTTTTATTTTATTTTAGACAGTATGTCCTTGTGTATCATTGAAGAAGTGCCTGAAAGTTATTTCAACAAAAATGTCCATATATGCTTCACTCTTTCTGCTTACCAAGGTCCAGCGTGAGTGTGTATGCGTTTGTGTGCTAACGTAACATTTCCTTCTCATATTAACTAACTCCCTCTGTTAATATTTGTTTTCAACTTCATTTCTCTCTCCTTTCCCAGGTGAGCCCTGAGACGAGTTGGCCGATTACCCCCTGCGATAAGCTCTTCCGGTGAGTCCGAGAGAATCTGCCGCGCGCTTTATTTATCCAAGATCCGCACAGCAGAGCCCGCGTAGCGCAGAAGGCGGCCTCTGGGGCGAGCGAGCCGCTGGCCGCCGGGGGAGCGCTCTGGCGGGCTGCTGCGGAGGCGCACGGCGCGCAGTGGGCCCGAACCAACCAACGGGCGCGCGTAGCTAAAACAAACAAAAGGGGGAAACATTGGCCTTGAAATTGAGGTATAATATTGCGGATTAAAAGTGATGTAATAAATGCTCATAGTAACATGTACATAATAGTTTCAATATGGCAACTCACGGAACTGTTTACGAAAATACAAAATTCTAACAAATCAATTTCTTAATGAAACTATGAAATTTTGATCAGTGAAGAAATGGATTCCCTTATATCTTATAATGTTTGAAGTTGCACCATTCTGCAACACTTATTTTTGAGAACCACTTCTGCGTGAAATTAGGAGCTAATAAAAAAATGAGAAACTTAGCAAATGTAATGTATATTTCTTTGTAAAGCGACCTTTGAAACGTGTGTGCTAGTTGAGATTCTTGGGTGCATATAACAGAAAACACTCTATGCTTTGTGCGTTTCTTTGGGTGGATAGGGCTAACTGCTCGGCGCGGCGCGGGGCGGGGCGGGGCACGTGGGGGGGGGCGTCGGGAACCCCGGTCGATGGCGCTCGCAGGTGATTCCCCATGCCGCCCGCCGCCCGCCGCGCCCGCCTCGGCTCTTTCTTCTCCGCCGCCCGCGCCCCCGCCGCCCCACGCTCTGACGTCAGCCGCGGCAGCGTGACCGCGCCTCCGCCCCGCCCCGTTCGCTCTTCCTGCTCTCGCCCGCCACCCCGCTCGCTCTTTCGCTGGCGCCCCTGCGCCAAACCCTAGAGCAGAACCGGGCCCCGCGCCGCCGCTGTGCACTTGGCAGGGCGGTAACTACGCGTTTAAGGGCGGGGGGGGCCCCCCCCCGCCCCGGGGGGGGCGGGGGCCCGCGCGCCAATGCAGTCACGACGAGAAGGGGTCGTGTAAGCGTTGCGCGCTTTCAAAACGATTCGGAATGTGAGGTGCGGTAAAATTGAAAAAGAAAGAATCTCACTAGACGTGTTCGAGGCGTATCTTTTAAAGGGATGGCTAAGAGTAGAAAAAATTGCCTTTCTGTAATTGAATTATTATTTCAATATGTATAAAACGTTTCATCATAATGCTTAATGATAAATATTGTTTAAAATTTAATTTTCGTGCAGAATAAAAGTTTGGATTTTTGTTACTTTACAATACGAAGAAAATATCACATATTATGGATAAACAAGAATTGTTTGAGTCAAATTACCATCTTTTGAGTTCTATCCTAAATATACTTCTTTAAATCAAAACTTAATTATACTTCTTCCATAAATGAGATATTAAAATTAATTCTCAATGACATTGGCTTGCTTATTAGGAACAAACCAGATACTAATATCTCTCGTTCGAACATTGCAGGGTAAAATAGCTTTGTTGCCATGGTGAACAATTGAAGCGCTGCTGAATCCGCAGCGGAAGAATTGAGAACTTTTGGAGCGTATTGTTTTCTTTTACGACATTATATTTTTCTCATTGCTCTAGTGCGGAATACTACGTCTATTTGTAAACGAAAGCAGCGCTTTTTCATAGAGCGACACAAATATTTCCATTGCACATTAATTTTTTTAATAATATTTCTAAAATATATATAGTAAATCTATATATAGTGGAAATCATTTTCATCTGTTTGTCACATTGAATTCGCATTTTCGATCATTTCAAACCGATTATTGGAAAAAATTTCAGACCAAAGTGAAACATTTAGTTTGACAGTTCTTTTACTCTTTAGCACTTGCTGACAATTCTTATCACGAATATCAGAAGATATTTTCTTTTCTAAATGAGTTCAAACGTATAAATAGAATTATAAATATAAGAACATTAGCTCACTACGTGAGAACAAGATCTTTGAATTAAAATTTCACAATTTTATTGATAATTAAAAATGTATTCTAACTTACTATTATTTGCATAAATATAGGAGACAAGCAATATCCTTGATAACTGAAGCCCTGTTGCTTTGTTGTAACGATGAGGCAGCTGAACTGTAGAGCTGCTGAGACAGTATCTTGGATTCCCGGAGTGCTCTTACTCTATCGTTGACTGTTTGTAAGTCACCGAAACGAGCGCATTACTCCCGCCCTATTTCCTTCAGCACCGACTACGCCCGCGCTGCATTCCCGGCTCATCTCAGTTGCTTCCGTCCGCCACCTCTCCCTCCACTCCCGAGGGCTCCCTCTACAGTAACAACCCTGCGACGGGCATGCAGGCACTGCAGGTCGGTGGAACAACTGAGGCCTTATTGAGAATACCGATTTAGAATTAAGAATTACAGCTGACTTTATATCCAATTAACCTTCACTGTTTATTACACAAATGGCTATTGAGATATTATATTACAAATCAGAGAGTGAAACTCTCAGAAAAATCTCAATGCGCTGTATCGTTTGCAGATGTATTTTGATTTATTAGTGATTGTAACAAAATCTATAATATTTATTAATTGCTCAATCCCATCAAATCACACTCAAGAAGATTCAAAACATAGCATAATAACAGGACAGATGAAATGAAAATTAAAACTGTGCATTTAAATACTACCGAGAAAAACCTTTGCAAATAGTTGTATTAAGACTAAAATATTTCTCTTGCATGAATGTGTATTAATATTGAAACTTTCTGCCAATGGCAGATAGGTGTATCATTCAATTGAATTTTTAAAATCATAATATCTTTTATTACAGTACAGTGTTTGTCAAGCGGATTTATTACACTTGAGTTGTGGTTACTTTCAGCGCTCTGTAATTGATTAGTTAGGAACTCGTTATTTATTGAATTTGTTGATTGAAATAGTTGACGAAATATTATTCTGAAACATCGACGTCTCCTTTGAGTTGACTTCCCATGTCATTTCAGGTTTGCTTTAAATGAAACAAGTATGACACGAGAAAATTACTCTCGCGTGCACACAATTCATTGCATCTCTTCGTATACCTGATCTTGCAGCGCGTAATCGTGAGCATGAATGACAGAGATCAAGGCCCCCTCCATCGCGCTCTGAGCAATGAGCTGCCGCTGAGGATATCGAGTGGCTCCGCAGATGGATGGACTGCCCCGTAATAAGAGCGTTGAAATATTGTCCCACGCCGCAGCCCCTGCGTCCACCGCCATCTTGGCCACCCCGTCGTTTCCGTCGCCTGCTGTTGAATTCCCCAGATGAAGGGGAGGTTACGTATCGCCACGAACGCTAAATAATTAAGGAGTGTTAAGACGCAGTGAAATGGAATCATTTTTATAGGCTAAGAATAAGTTGACAAAATACCTTTGTTTCACTTACAAAAATTGTGTAAAGTAGCGACAATGTCATATTCCTACAATATAATGTTCATTTATCCTATTTGAAGTATAAGAATATCGAAGTTGTGTTACAAATCGATTATTCAGAATTATTGTTTTACATGTTGAAAAGAAATGTATATGGATGCCTTTATAAATTAGCAATTATTTTTAATTGGAATCTGTTTACGAATGGTTCACTTACAAAATTATGTATTTGTATTTTCATCTTTTGTAATTTTCCTATTTAGACATCCCTATTATTCATTATTTAAAAAGTGAAGAATTTAGTATATTTTTAAGAGCACTCTTATAAATTAAAGACATTTTCTTTCCAGATTATTTTTTCATTTTAATAATTGTCGTACGTCCGCGAGTGTATACTGCATTTCCCGAGAATAAAAATAGCATGTGTACCATGAATCCACCGCACTTTGTAGCATTAATTATGAACATGTCATGCCCTCCCCTGTCGGAACCGTAATGAATTCGTTTCGAGAGCGAAGAGGTGATTAATTAATCTCTTGGACAGCAAGTAGCGATAGCGACCTGCAGTGGGGATTTACACGTAGCCAAAGCAGTTGCCTGTATCATCATTGAGCGAATTTTTTTTATTTTTTCTTTCTCTGTGCGGTAATAAATGGTTTCTAAATAAACCTTTCCATAGGTGTGGAGTTGGTGGTGAGAATGAACTTGGTATAGATAGGAGATGGAGTAAGAATACTTGTCTATATGTGAGTAATACTCACCCTTTCTTAGGAAATCAGTACTGTTATTGATATACGGATTCAAGTTAAAGGAATGTTTTTATTAAAATTTAGTAAGAAAGGAAACGAATAAATTGCTCTCACTAATTTGTACTTTGTTACGGAATAGAGAGAAAGCTATGTAATGCTGCACAGAAAATCGGCGAATTTTCGACACAAAATCTCTTTTTAAAGGGTCTTGGAAACGAAAAAGTGGATAAATCCATTTGCGAAATTTACAAAAAAATCCTCTATCACGTGGTGTAACCAGAATCCATGTTTGGTGGGTCTTTGATACCCCCCCAAAAAAATTACGGCAAAACGTCCGTCCGTCCGTCCGTCTGACAGACGTAATGAAGCCCCTGGGATAGTTTAAAATTTTCAAAAAAGAACTCCATCGTTTTTTATTTTTAAATTTTATTGTTGAATAGTGTGAAGAACCGTTAAGAGAAAGGTGCTGGTCTATGGTTGTTAAAAACACTGATTTTTCGAAAATTGCAAAAGTTCAAAATTTTATCGAAGTCTTCCTAGAACTAAAATATTAAATATAGAGAATTTTTCCTTATTCAAATCTGTTCATTAAGGATAGATTTTGAACTGATAGCACCTGAAATGTTTCGAAAATTAGAATACTTTTCGTGTAATT